CGGCGCGACCTGTTAGGTATTTGCGTATCAGTACACCCCATTGAGCCTCCGCGATTCCCATTTCCCGAAACTCCCGCTCTGCCAGGGTCAGGAAGGTCCGCATATCCGGTCCCGCTTCGGTTGCTGCCATTCTTGACTGCAGGATGAGATCTGCCCCTTTCTTCGTTTCGCCTGTACTTCCTTTCTGGTCGCACCGCATTTGCTGGAAGAATCGTGCCATTTCCAACTTCCAGGCCGTGGTCGGGTCAACAGTGTCTGGGGTGGGCTCGTCCTGGCCGCGAGTGTCTTCACCCGCTTCGAGGGACGCCTCATCCTTGTCCAACGTACGAAGGTCTGTTTCCTGCTCCGGAGCGGCCGTCATTGTGTCCGTCCCTCTGCCCGGTGTTGTCTGGGTCTCCGTCAGGTTGCAAGTCTTCCCCTTGGAAGGAGTCAACCTTCGCGTCTTGTGCCTACGGAGTTCCGAAAGTGTCATCTTGGGGATTTGTGGCTCGTTTTCTTGCGTATCCAGCATTGCCTTCGGTCGTCCTGTAGCAAATCAGTCCTGCCGACAATTTATTTCAATCGCTCGCCGCCTAGTGGGCTAATACTTCCCCGGGTTCGGACTTGGGAGGAAGAGAAATTTTTTTGTGTTCGGAAAGGGGTTTCCGTCAAGATTTGGGTTAGAGGTCTGCCTTTCCGTTTCCCGGAACGGCCCCCAATTGTAATGACCTCGGCGGTCGAATACTCTTAACCCCTAGCAGGTTCGGCGACACTATACAGAGAATGTGCGTTGTCCGGAAACGTTAAGTCAAAACTCGGTTCGGGTCCAACGTATTTCAACGTTTTTCGTTGTCCAAAAAAACTGAGGGTCGCCTTCCGGGCGCGCCCCTGGCCTCTGCAGGCATCATGGGGCGCCATCCTCTGGGTGCGCCCGATTCGCCCCGCACGGTGTCGGTCTCTGTTCCTGTCTGATATCGGCTACGATCCTTGTGTGCCGATCCTACTATTTAAGTTAGACTCAATTAACTCTCTTTGATAGTTTCCGGCGTACTTAGTTCGTCCTTGCTCCTTACTCTCTATAATTACCTATCGTTATTGATTGCAGCTACTTGTAGTGCTAGCGCACTACACTCTGACCCTCGTTGAGGGTCAGTATCAGAGTCACAGCTTCAGCCTCACATCCAGCCCCCAAGCCGGTGCCGGCTGGCGGGCACTCCGATCCTAATATGCATCTTCTCTTATGTAGAGATGTCCTAACTCCTGAGATACTCTAGAGTATTTAATCCTTTTCATGATACTAGGCCTCTAGAGGCCACACAGAGGAGCTATTGTAGTGCCAGTGCACTACGCCTACCGGCAGAGCGGCTGGAACACACTTTGCCTGTGCTTGCTTGTGTGTGGTCAGTTGATCCTATGCATACAGAACTGTTACGCCTGTTGTATATCATCATATTGCTCAGCTGAATGTTTGCGCCTTCCGACACTTTGCGCCCTCGTAACTGGCGCCTCCTTTGTCGCATGGCTTGCCGGCGTTGGTTCACGTAAATATACTTTCCCGCAGGCTGAGTTTGCAGCCAGCATTGCTGGCACTTGGAGTTGGTCTCACGGAGAGAAGGGGCTCGTGGAGCAAGGCTTAAAATCAAAAAGCAGCAAATTCAGTGTTTCCAGGGCAACGATCAATTCTCCAAGCCGCTTTT